ACCACGGTGCCTGACGGGTACCGCAGAACCCTCTGGGGTCATTTCCCCTCCACGAATGGCCCCAGAGTGTCAACCTCTAACACTCCTGACTTTTCAGAGTCTTGTATCTCCTCCTGTGCTGGGAGCCAGCACACCCTGGGGTTAGTAACGGTGCTTTGTAACGAGACGACGTGTCAGTGAGATGAGGCTGATGACCTTACACAAATAGAGAAAAGTTCTTCTATGGTATTTATCTCAGGAAAAAACAGAAAAGATTTGCTTGAATACTTGCCATTTTCTGAAAACTATCTTTAGAGAAATGAGACAACCAGGACTGTGATCAACCACCTTGTTAAAGGTCAAGGTCCGTCAGAAATCTCAGTCTGAGAGTGCAGATATTCACACGTTTTCTCTCCAGACATAAAACTCTCAGTCTCAACTCATAGCCCCACAATCTCTTTCCTGGCCCAGTGTGGCAGGAGACGGAGCCTGGGACGCCCCTGATGAGGGGCCCCCATCAAGCCACTCCAGGAATCACAGCCCACCTGGGACAGCTACACGGACACGGGGGCGTGTGCAATGGAGTGGGCACAAGCAGAGCTCGTGGAGCTGAAGTCTGTCTCTGCTCCTCCATCCACCCCCCTCCTTCAGACTCCCATTCCCTCAGGAGAGTGTTCTAGTGGACTCCGGCTCTTCCCACCACTCGGCCAGCGCACAGCATCCAGCCCCGGACCAGCAAGGGTTGTTGACAGACCTCCCAGAAATCCAAGCAATGGTATCCAGAGACTCCAACTTACCGCTCAGGAGCTCCGTCTACCAAGGATGGCCCCACTCCCTTTTCAATTTTTGTTTTATTTTTAAGAGATGGGGTCTTGTTACATTGCCCAGGCTAATCTTGAACTCCCGGGTTTAAGCAATCCTCCTGCCTCAGCCTCCTGAGGAGCTGGGGCTATAGGCACGTGTCCCATGCCTGGCCCTGTTCGGTTTGTTAAGGCTAACCCCCAGTCACAGGGACCATCACTCTGGGCTGTAACCAGCACCTGTGGTAACCCTGCTTCAGGCAAAGCTCAGTCTCTCCCCAGCCTTTCCAAGTGCGACCCAGAGAGCCAGAGGACTCGTGTGTGTCCTCCCTGGAGTGAGCCTCCAGTTCTAAGGCTGGGCCTCTTACAACCAAAGAGCCGATGTGAGCTGCCCTCCCCTCCCATACCAACATACTTCAATGTCCTCTCCTAAAATATTGACCAAACTTAAGACTTCTTTTCCTCTTTCTGAGGGAAGAGAGAAAAATTGTATTACACACCTAGTCCCAGAACTGGAAACATCCAGGTGCCCAGCTGGCTGGCCTCGAATGACAACAGTTCTGTGTTTCCTTTATCCAGCAGCCACCAGAGATGCCTTCCCTGGGTCAGATCTGGGGCTCGCCAGCAGGTGCAGCGTTAGTGGTGACTGTGTGTGGTGTCCCGTCCATGGTTTCATGTCAAGTCCTGGCCTTGTACATACCCTTGCCCTCTGACTAGAGCAGAGCCTCAAGGGAGAGAAAAGTTCGTGGGCATTGCCTGGCTCTCCTACACCCCCTTCCCCACCATCTCCATTTCCTCATCTTGACAACCAAGACTCCCTGTGAAATTCCTAAGTCAGGGTTAAAACATAACCAGGGGCTACTCCCTCTTTCCTGGAGTTCCCATGGTATTGTGTCTGTCACCCCACCATGTGACGATGGGCTGTGTCTCCTCAGGCAGGCCAGGAGCATCTCAGGGCACTAACTGGGTCTTTAAACAGAACCAAAGAAAACACAGCTAATGAGGGAGCAGAGCTGCTACTCCGGCCCCCAAGTAAGGCTGGGATTCCGCCAAGCACAGTCCAGAGGGAAGTGGAATGGAGGCCTCGCACAGAGGCCTGCCCGTCCCTTACACGGAGCCCCAGGAACCAAGTCTCACACGCGCCGTTGGACTCAGCCAACAAGACACTCATGAACAGATGCCGTGAATCAGACCTGAGCTGGGCCATTAGTAATTCTCCCCTCTGTGGGAGGCGGGGTGGGTAGCAGTGGCAGAGTGCAGTGGCAGCTGTCCATCGGCCCGCTCTGTCAGTCACATACCCAGTGTCTGAGCTCTCCCTTTAGAGAGGGTAGCTGGTGCTTAGTAATCACTTGTTCTGGCATTTGTGTACCTTCCTATCTGATGTGTGCCACCTCCACACGGGGGAGGCGACATCACTAAGAAAATGAGAAGGCTGAAGGTCTTCAGTCTTTTGCAAAATTTGATTCTCTATTCTTATCTCATTATAAATAAATCTGAGCAACTGTTAGCTTACACAGTTTTTTAAAGTAATTTGACAAAACTGATATCCAACCCTCCCCAAATAAAAAAAAAAAAAGACACCTCCCTATAATTCTTCCTCTGCATATTTCTAAGAGGAGACTGACACTCTGAGAGGTTTATTCATTCATCCCTGGAAACGGGAACTGAAGAGGATTCTTTTCCCTCCCACCAGCTCTTGTAAATGACGGGCTTTCAATACATCCTAACTCTGCCAGCTGCCAACGATGGAAGAAGAAATTATACAGAGTAAAAGAAAATCTAATGATTAACAATCCAGAAATGCCACCACTCCCTTTTTCCTTATTAAGAAGACTTCTTTCATAAGTCCCATGAAATCAGATAACTGGCTTATATTTCCCTCTTTATTGTGTAGGCAGATGACCAAATTAAAGGACTCTAAGAATCTTGAAAATAATTGCAATTTTATAGCCAAAATGAAAAAAGGAGTCTGCCTAAAAGCGTTAAAGTGTATGCAGAAAAGTTCATTTGAAAGTCTCTCCTAAAACTGAGGTTTAACCTACTAAGTTCCAACCTTAATGGAAAATTTTAACTGCTGTTTGTTTGTCCAATTTCTCCCCCACACCCTGCAACATTCTCCATGGCCAACAATAACTTTTAATTCCTTTAATCATTTTTGCAGGGAAAAAAAGCAAATAAGCTAGCACACATGTAAGTACACACGTGTGTGTGACCACACATACACGGGAAGGCACGAATGCATGACCAAGCAAACAGCCTCCTCTGCAGAGCCTCATCCCCACGACGGCCCCACAACTCCCTTCTCCTGCCCTCTCCCGGCACCTGCTGCCTACACCTTGCATTTTGGTCCTAATTTGATTTTTTTCACCGTGTTTAACCAAGTGCTAGGAGCCCATCCAGATACTTCAGTAACTGCTAGGGGAAATCACTGTGCATTTTCCTAAATTCTTAGTTCTAATACTGCCTTTCCAAAAAGGGAGAATTTCCTAAGGACCCAAATCTTTTTTCCCCAAATCTACAAGCATTACTTGGCTCATGGCAGACTGTCAGCAAAAATACTGTATGTTTGCATCTTACACTGTCTCTACCTATAAAAGACTGGGCAAGTTAAACTGGCAAATTTGCAAGCTCTCCCTTTTTAAATGTAAAGGTCTTTCATTTGCTGAGAAAGAATAGCAGAATATTTGTGCTGGAAATATCAGAGGGCATCTAATCAGCTCCTTAGCTAAGCAACCGAATGACAGGAGTGGAGATTTGACTAAACCCAGTTCTCCCAACCCTGTCACACCAAGCGGCCATCTCTGAGTAATGCTGCCTCCAGGATGTGGATGTACCATCAACATCAAAGCAGCATGTGCCCTTCTGAAGGTTTTCATTTCAAACAAGGAAGTCAAAACAAAATCTGAACTTCCAGGTCTGAAGAATAAATGTTGGGGAAATGCACAAACTTTTGTGGTAATTCCTTAAAATGCCAACTTCTGCTCTCAAGAATGTGTCCATTTTTTCCTGGATGTGCCAGTGAGCGGCTGTCCTGAGACAACGTGTCCTACCCAGGCCCTAAGGCCTTCAGCACACGGCCCCTTTCAGAGGTCAGGGAATCACGCCCTGATGAAGTCCGGAATCAAAACAGGAGTTGGGGGTGGCCCAACCCTCTCCTAACCCCTCACTTACTTTCTCTGTATCTCTTTACAGCCCAGCTTTGTCACTGTCAAATGACAACATTCAAATACTTTGATCAAGTTTTAAAAATTTATCCTATGGAAATAATCAGAGAGATACACAAGATTTATGAATAAGGAAGGTCATTCCTGGCTTCTGAAAGGCACAATATTCATTGAAGGTCACTTGGATATGACTGAGTAACCTTGAACTAAAACAAACAAGGGGCTTAGAAGACTGCGTTTCTTTTAAAAAAAAAAAAAAAAAAAAACCCAAAAAAAAGCATGCAACTTGGCAATAGATGTTTATAGTAAATGAGGCCCATCCCAATACCAGGCCTTTACCCCAAGCTTGGGCCAATTCACAGACCACGAAGCCAAAGAACCACCTTTCAGATGAGACAGGTGTGCAGGTGTGTTCAGGGTACTACGGCCACAGACAAGAACCCCCTTCAGTCTGCACATTCACGTTCCCAAAATTATACAGTGTCTCTCTGCCTTCCATCACTGTGATAGTTTTAAATGAACACAAAGCTGCTTTGGAAATGTTGATCGTAAAAACCACGTTCCAGATTGAATCTTTTCTTTTAATAGCAAAACAGAATCAGGAAATTCTTGTAAGATGGCAAAGAATATAGGTCTCTTTCAAAGGAAAGCTCAGACCATTTTCCAAGTTGTTAACTCAGAGAAAAGTTAACTCAGAGAAACCCACGTTAAGTTCTACTGCACCAAACAGCCCAGTAATTACTCAACTTCATTCTACCAAATATCCTGAGGAATATGCGACATGCAATCCCTTCCCAAATCCTGAGAGACCTCACGTTATTCATCAGAATCTCCGTAAGGATTAACCAATGCCAAGAAGGTAAGGGAGAAATAAGGCCCTCCCAGCACTCCATGCAGTGGCTACTGGACACCTTTAAGGAAGAACTAGGGCTCTGCATGAAAACAAAAACTTAAATATTTTCTTACCAAAAAGTTCAAATACATCCTCCACAGTAAGGGACACTGGCTGCCACTGTCGCTCCGCATTGCATTTTCAAACAGGGCTTTGATCCGATGTGTTAAGCCGGTCTCAGGAATTGTGGTGTGGACCTCTCTACCATCTACCCTGCAAGGCAAAGGCTCATGTAACTCTGAGGAAGTTCCCTCACCCCATGTCACAAGAGGAAAAGAAGCTTTAGTGATGGCCAATGTCAGCAATAACTGGAGCAGAGAGAGACAGGGGAGTGCTGTCCCCTCAGCTGGGTAAGCGCGGGGTGATGTGGCTTCTCTGAGGCCACAAGGCAGAGGCCAGGGTTCTGCAGTGTCTACACTACACTGAGTGTCTAGAAGTCACACACAAATTCCTTGCTTCTGTTTTCTACAGATACCTACGCTGTAATCAGCAGAATGCAAATTCCACTTTATGGGAAGGAAGACCTTTCAATTTAAAGTACAGAAAGGCAGGCTCACATGGAGTGAATAAAATCCCAATGGAAGAAATAAAGAACAAGTGAAATACCACACAAAGGTAATCTTACCTAATTTACAAGGTCAGAGTGAACCAATAGCAAAGATTCTGGGAGGAAGCTAATATGTTTCTCCAATTACCATTTAACCTTTAGATAGAAAATACTGTATCAAAGATGGTTTTGGGGGGTTTTTTTGAGACAGAGTCTTGCTCTGTTGCTTGGGCTAGAGTGCAGTGGCATCATTGCAGCTCACAGCAACCTCAAACTCCTGGGCTCCAGCCATCCTCCTGCCTCAGCCTCCCGAGTAGCCGGGACTACACGCACGTGCCACCATGCGCACCACCACGTCCAGCTAATTTTTTCTATTTTTCGTAGAGACAGGGTCTCACTAAGTTGCACAAGCTGGTCTCAAATGATCCTCCTGCCTCAGCCTCCTAAAGTGCTAGGATTACAGGCATGAGCCACCGTGCCTAGCCCAAAGATGGTATTAAAAACATGACACAGTTATCACCAGCAATGCTGACAGAAGCTTCTAATTATTATGCACTCTCTTTGTGCCAAGCACTTACCTCACTGACCCCTCAAGAGCAACCCTATGGGGTAGGTTCTTTTTTTTTTTTTTTGAGACAGAGTCTTATTGTGTTGCCCGGGCTAGAGTGCCGTGGCATCATCTTAGCTCACAGCAACCTCAAACTCCTGGGCTCAAGCGATCCTTCTGCCTCAGCCTCCCAAGTAGCTGGGACTACAGGCATGCGCCACCATGCCCGGCTAGTTTTTTCTATATATTTTTAGTTGTCTGATTAATTTCTTTCTATTTTTAGTAGAGACGGGGTCTCGCTCTTACTTAGGCTGGTCTCGAACTCCTGAGCTCAAACAATCCGCCTGCTTCGGCCTCCCAGAGAGCTAGGATTACAGGCGTGAGCCACCGCGCCCGGCCAGTAGGTTCTTTATTTCCATCTGACCGAAGAGGGAGCTATTAGAGAGGTGAAGTGACATGTCTAAGGTCACACAGCCAAGTAGTGGAAGGGCTGGCCTGGAATCCAGAGCGGTGAACTCCACAGCCATTACGCTTTCATCACAGCTTCTCAGGTACCCCGATAGCCCGAGAGGAACCACCCATGCACACCAGAAGCAACACTCACGCTCCCCAAGAGCATGGCCTAGAGGACAGCCACAAAAGCCTCTAATGCAAGATGTTGCTCCTTTTAAATGTCTTGTTCATTTTTCAACATGTTATCCTACAACACCTGGAGCACCCACAGCTGGTGTTCCAGGCACAGTGTTGTATTCACCCCTGAGACCCAGCAAAGCAGTGGGAACACAGCACGCATGCCATGAGGGTTTCTGGAACACCCGAACAAGATGGTCTGTGATTACCTCTGAACAGCTTCCACCAGTCTTTTTCTCATTTTCTCAGCTTCAATTGCAAACAACCAAGGCTCCAGGGGTTTGGCGGACCTGGTGACTGTATCAAAAAATCGTCTGGTCTTGTTGGCACTGTGGGACTTACTTTGAATCTGTACATAGGACCTCCAAAGAACCTGGTTGTCTGGATACAATGTTAAGGCCTCTGAGAGCGCCTCCCGCAGAGGAGCCAGAGGATAAACGCTAACTTTCACGTGCAATCTGAGCAGGCTGGTGTGCATCAGCGTGATGGCTTCAAGAACTCTGGTCAAACTCTGGGAACTGGCACTGTCCTCCAAAACAGAGCCTTCTGGGGAAACAGAGCTGTTCAGTTTTGCAAATACCTCCTTATATATCTGCACAGAGGCATCAATCCCTATGGTCAAATATTGGAAGAGCATAAAGCATTTGACCAAGCTAATTAGGTGGTTAAAGGAATCGGTGGGAGGTGGATCAGAGACAGAGCTTTCACCCAAACAGTCCTGCAGTGCGTGCTCATAAGCCTTTCGAGCTTTCAAAATGTGAACAGCCAAGACCTGTCCGGTGTAGGGCCCATAGGGACTGCTCTCAGTCAGCCTGGTCAATATATGAACAGCTCGGGGTGTGGTGGCTCCTCTCGAGTCTGGCGACAGCTCCACCTCCAGTTCGGCATAGAGCAGACTAAGCTCACAGAGTTCAGGGTCCTTCAGTTCTTTGCTTCCTGCCATGCTAAGTGCTGTATCGAAAACTTTTCTGGCATCCTCTGTGTTGCCAAGCAACCACTCCAGATGGGCATACTGCTTCCAGAGGCCAAAGTTGTTGCAGTTTTCTGGCTCCTTAAGGAGATTCTTGGCTAGTTTTTTGCAGTTCTTCCCCTGTGACTTTAATCTCTTTTTGTTTTTAGTGTGCAGCCACCAAATAACCTACAGGAAAAAAAGAGAAGAGTGACTGCAGTGCTCTGTAATTTTAAAGCAATCCCTTTGTGCTGCCAACTTTAGAAAGCGTTGACAGTACAAAGGCCTCTATACTTCCTTTATCACGTGTTTGGTAAATACTGAGGCTGTCCGAGCTGTAAAAGAGATGAGGATTTTACCAGGGCCACAAGTGCCCCCAAATTGACACATCCAGGGTTCCATTTGCAATTGCTATAAACAAGGCTGATATGCTCCCAATGTTCTTCTCCAAAGAGATGTGGCCACAAAATGTTATCACACTGTTTTAATGCAACCTGGTATGTGTCATCTGTAGTTAAAGCTTCAGAACTTTGTGCTGAAAGACAATACTGTGCTCATTTTGGCAGCACATATACTAAAATTGGAACAATACAGAAAAGATTAGCATGCCTCCCATGAGAGAGAGAGAGAGGAGAGAGGAGAGGAGGGAGGGGGGAGAGAGAGGGAGAGAGGGAGAGAGGGAGAGAGAGAGAGAGAGAGAGAGAGACACAGAGAGAGAGACAGAGAGAGAGAGACAGAGAGAGACGGACGATACTAACCGGTGACCAGCAGAGGGCAGAACAGCTAATCCAGACTAATTTCTAACAGATAGATGCAAAGAGCAGGGGAAGTAAGTAGCTTATTTTATCTATTTTAACAAGCCCCTAAATCCTCTAACCCTGCTTAAGGTTGTTCTTGACACTAACTGCTGATATAATGACAGGCATCTGGTAACAGAAGACTCAACACAATAAACAGCTGTAGAGTCGCTGAGGCAGCTGGACTTGCTCCTGCCTTCCCGCTCTCCGGTGGCCCCGCAGGACAACCACACACGAGGGCCTTCAGGGGCCACTGAGGGAGGAGGTGCTGTGGCAGTTCCCAGAAGAGCAGTCAGAGCCTTGCAATCCCAATTTACAAAGCTGACATGAAATGAAAAGTCCCCAAACACGGAGAGGAAGAGGCTGGGAGTTACCTTCGCAATCTCGTACTGTAACCAGGAGGAACAGAGCCGGGACTTTTCCTTGCCTGAAAACAAAGGCATCACGAGGTGGAAGACGTTGCGGATGAACTCCTCGCCCTCTCGATTGTGACCCCTAGTCCAGCGAGGACAGGCGAACCTGTCCATGCGGCCAACACAGCTGACCCCAGAAAATGGAGGATTGAAAAAAGTCAAGGGCTTTTCATCATAAAGTCCATTATCAAAGATGCTGTTCTCATCCATGGCCAGATGAAGGTAGGAGGCTGGAGGGATGAAGCCAGAAGGCACACCCAAGAACTGCAGAAAGGCCTCAATCAGCCGGAACTGAAGATCTTGGCTGGAAAGTTTGATCAAAGATTGTCCAATATCATCAAACAACACCTGTGATGAAGACAAAGTAAAGTGACCCATTTAATGAAACAAACAAAAGCCTTCGCAATTTTTCACAATTATTTTTATATGGATGTACTAATGATTCAACATTATTAAAAGAAATTCTAAACAGACAGGAGCTAAGTTTTCTTTTAGCAAAAAAGCCAGAGGCCTCACAAGGCAACCCGGACAGCTGGTAAGTAACTTTCAGCAGCCCTGTGTGGCCATTAACATCTTCACACACGGGGAAAACCGGGGAGGAGGGCAGACATGAAGAGGCTTAAGCTAGAAGCTGTCGAAGTATCCTAATGGATTCATAGAATATCTCGAAAGATGTTCATTTCTGAAAGTACACCTAATTGCTTTTGCAGTTACTTTGATAAAATACAACTGTGAAAATTTTTTATTTTAAGATGGAAGATAAGAACTTTACTATTGTGGTTTCTTTGTACAAAATTGCTTCAGGAAATGAAAAATATGCTCAAAAATAGATAAACAGGAGCAAGGTAAGAAGGAAACCTCAGGAGCAATGGAGCATGTGAAGAGCAATTACAAGAGCCCAATGCTAACTGTGCGGCTTCCTGGCTGCTTTCATGCACTAATTTAAAAATGCAAGGCCAAGGAGACTCCCCTTTGTCTCAAGGTGCTGCTTATCTGATTGGTCTCTGTGGCTCTCAGCAAAACAGAAATCAAAACATAAGCACAATAAATCTAGGCTACCTGGGACTCAACTAATCAAAACCAATTAATCAGAAAGCTGCTTCTTTATATTTAAAAAAAGAAAAAAAATCAGAAAGCTTTTCTTCCACAGGCTTTGATTAGAGAAAAAGCTAAATGGCACAAAATTGCTCACAGCAGCAGTCTGCTCCAGAAATCAGCTTCCAGGAGACTGCTAGAATTCTGAGCCTTGAGAACCAACTTCCAAAGAATGGCTGTGAACTCCATAAAATCTTCAAACACCAAAGAAAAATCCTGTTCTTCTGTAAACATTCTGCTTCAGCAAGGCAGAGTCACCTTCCCAAGCATTCCAGTGAGGTGAGGTTCCCTGGATGTTGGCCCTTTCTTCCTGCCCAGAGATCACCTTGACCTCTATCTCTTTCCCCACTTCTCTGCATCTGAATTCCAGTCTGGCCACCCCACCTGCCTGGCACTCTGGGGCCTTCCTTCGTGCCAATCCCTCTGCCCAGAGCAGATGCTCCAGCAACAAATAAATATTACTTCAATGTCCAAGAACATCAACTGAGTGCTCACCATAGGACAAGTGCTGTTCTAGGCACTGGTGACATAGCAGTGAACAAAAGAGGCAAAACTCCCTGCCTTCAAGGAACCTAACTTGTAGGGAGAGTCACAGAGCTCCCAGCAAGAGTTGGTATCTTGTGAAACCAGATCAATTCTGGGTATCAAAACAGCATTTCTTCCTTCATTTTAATTTAAAACCTCCAGAGCTGGTGGTCACTAAACACAGAGCAGCATGTACCAAATCATGTGACAGTAAACGAGATACAAGCGAAGTGCCTGGCACTCAGCAAGTGTCCAATAAATGTTAGTTTTCCCTCAGCAAGACCAGCTGTATGCTGACTGTCCCAGTGTGGACTCTACAGTCGGTCCCTCTTGTCTTCCAGAGTCAAATCTATCTGCTACATCTTCATGGATCCAAGAGTGAGGTGGGGAAAGTGGACACAAAGAATCTAGGACAATGATTCTAAGTTGTTTTTTTTTTTTTAACTTGAGCCCACAGAGTTCCATGTGAGAAATTAACTGAAAAACCAGAGGACAATCTCCAGAGATTGTCACGAGAGCCTCCCCACCTACCACCTACTAGGGGACAAGAACTATCTGGTCAAGGGCCTGCACGCTCCCCCATCACCAGTGGCCAACAAAATTCTATCCTGATATTCGGCAGGAGGGAAGTTTTCACAGATGTGAACGAGTGCAGACTGCCATCTCCTAAGCCAGACGAGAGAGCCCCAGCAACCTCCTTTCAGACAACCGAGGCCCAGGAAAATGGAAAGGCAAAGGCCCCCTGGTCAGCTTCTCTCCCAGGGTGGAGGATACGTGCCTGTCTCTCCGGATCCTCGCAGTCTTCCTCAGTTTGCTTCTTGGTCTTATCAGGGCGCCAGGGCCGCCAGTGCCTCTGGTCTCGGGAGCGCTCCACAGCAAGCCAGATCTGCCATCGGGGCAGAGTCTTATCTCTTATTTCCTGGTCGTCCTCTTCTGGCTCATCGTCCTCCTCATCTAGACAATGACAAAACTCTTAGTTCATCTAGTTAGCAAAGAAAACTATCGCCACTCAGTCAGCCTGCCATGCCAGGTACCGTGGGGGGCACCTGGAGCGCTCAGATGCGTAAGAGCCACGCAAGCCTCCCAGAGCACTCAGTGCATTTAGGGAGCCTCCTGTAACTAGCCAGGTTCTCAGGAAAAACGGGCAGACGAGGTGAGGAAATCTGATGATTTTCAATGCTATCGCAGCAATTAAAATGGAAATGACACATATTCTAGAACAGTACTATCCTAGAGAACTCTGTGATAACGTTAATGCTCTACATCTCTGCTAATATGGTAGCCCAGGTGACTCACTGGGCACTTCAGACGTAGCTAGTAAATGAACTGAAATCTTATTTTTATTTAATTTTAATTAACTTTAAATAACCACGTTTGGCTAGAGGCTACTGTATTGGACAGCAGTTTTAGAACACTAAATGACATTTAATGGCAGCACTGGTTTAGATTTTCTTAAGCCATCACTATTTTTAGCCAGGGGACTCATAATTAATGATGATCTATGCTCACTAGAACCTGCTTAAAAAAAAATCAATTTAGGATATCTAACAATTTATTTCACTTTGTTTCCTAACTCCGAACATGCAGAATGGAAGAGGAAAAAAAAAGCCTAAGTCATCTGTAAAGTTTGATGTTAAAAAATAAATAGGGTATATAAAATGGTACAGCCACATAGGAAAACAGTTTGACAGTTTCTTATGAAACTAAACATGCACATACCATAACTGTACTCTTGGGTACTGATCCTAGAAAAATGAAAACCTATGTTTACAAAAAAACCTACACACTAATGCTCACAGCAGTTTTATTCACAATAGCCCAAAACTGGAAAGAACCCAAATGTCTTAAACAAGCTGTTGTACATCTACACAAAGGACTACTACTCAGCAATAAAAATGAACAAACTATTGATACATGCAACAATTTGTATGTATCTTAGGAGAATTATGCTAAGTGAAAGAAAGCCAATCTCAAAAAATTACAAAGAAAACAAGTGCTGAAGTATGTATTTCCTATAGCAAAAAAAAAAAAGTGTTGCCACGGATATAGAGAAATTGGAACCCCTGTGTAATGCTGGTGGGAATGCAAAATGGTACAGCTACTGTGGAGAACAGTGTGGTGATTCCTCAAAAAGCTAAACATAGAATTACCACATGAGGAGGAAATTCAACATCTGAATATATACCCAAAAGAACTGAAAGCAGGGACTCTGATAGATACATACATGCAGGTTCACAGTAGCACTGCTTACAACTGCCAAGAGGTGGAAGCAACCCAAGTGTCCATCGAAGGATGAATGGATACAGTGGACCAGGATTATTGTTTAGCCTTGAAAAGGAAGAAAACTTGACACATGCTACAACATGGAAGAAGCTTGACAATACTATGCTAAGTGGAATAAGCCAGTCACAAAAGGACAAATTTTGTATGACTGCTCTTATATGAGGTCCCTATGGTAGTCAAATTCAGAGAGACAAAAAACAGAATGACGACTGCTAGGGGCTAGGGGAGGGGCACGGGGAGTTAGTCTGTAAAGGGCAGAGTTTCAGTTAGGAAAGATGAAAAAGTTCTGGAGATGGATAGAGGTAATAACTGTACAACAGTGTGAATGTACTTAATGAACTGTACCCTTAAAAATGGTTAAAATGGTAAATTTTGTTATATTTTACAACTTAAAAAATTTCATTTAAAAAAAGTCATATACCACATGATTCCATTTATATAACATCATGAAATAACATAATAGAGATGGAAAACAGATGAGTGGCTCCCAGAGGCTGAGGGGGGAGGGGTGGGTGAGACTAAAAAGGGTGGCAGGACAGAGCCTGTGGTGATGGAACAGTTCTGTATTGTGACTGTGGTGATTACACAAAGCCACACGTGATAAAAGCTGTCTTGTGCTATCTACACAGCACACGCACACAAATGAGTGCGTGTAAAACCGACAAAATGTGAATCAACTCTGCAGACTGTCAATGCCCTGCCATACTGTGCTACAGCACTCCCACCGAGTGAGGGGTGCACAAACCTCTCTGCATTTTCAACTTCCTGTGAATCTGTATGTCAAAATACAAAATTAAATAAAAACTCCAAATTATTTCAATGCATAACGTATATTTTAGTATTTTAAATCCAATTCTACCTAAACATGCTTCTCAGTGTTCAAAGAAGAAAATTAGAATTTAACTATTTATCACCTTCTTCTAAAGATCCACATTTAAAGTAATCCTTTAACGGCCGGGCGCGGTGGCTCACGCCTGTAATCCTAGCACTCTGGGAGGCCAAGGCGGGCGGATTGTCTGAGCTCAGGAGTTCGAAACCAGCCTGAGCAAGAGCGAGACCCTGTCTCTACTAAAAATACAAAGAAATTAAT